ATGATAACAAAATAGTAGAGGAATCAAAGAAACCTGATAAGATCCATATTATTTTATAACACTATGAAGGCGGGGGGTAATGCATTAGATCGGAAGTGTGTAAATTACAATACTGGTTAGAGAACGAGAAGATGGCCTTGTGCTATTTGGTATCCAACCAGCTTCTGTAAATTCCTTTTTTTTCAGTCTGGGACTGAAAGTTCCATTAGGCGACGAAATTTTATTGTTCCCCTGAGGCAAACTCTAATTTAACTTCGTATGAGAGGACGTTTATCAGATCCAAGACTTCCTAGGGAGCTTCGTTCAGCCATGCAAAGAATCCTAAATTACCAACGACGAATAAAGTAAGCCGTCTACTTCTCAGCCCAGAGTTCTCGATCCTGATGCAGTTGTTAAAGAAAAAAAACGACGTAGGTGTTACATGACAATACACAATGAAAAAAATGTTCTACAATCTGTAATAAGTATGTAAAGTCACAGCGCACTTACATTGTTTCGTGAAAAGTGATAAATGTTAATTATTGTATGTTTCCTTATACGAGAAAGTATTTGTTTTTGTTGTAGAATATCAACACCAAATGTTGTTAAATGGCCCATTTTGTTAGTTTTTTTATGTTCATATTACAGTTCAAGTTTCGAGGATTATATTTATTGCATTACTCATCTTCAATGGGGTATTTTCGTTTTTAGACAATAAACAGTTTTCATGTAAGAGTGTCTTATGCGTACAAACCTGTTGTACACATGGCTAAAAACAGTAATGGCATTTCAGATGTTGATAGTAAGATCCGGTGGATAACCTGTTTTGCGAGATTAGACGTGGGATTTCCAACACGAACACCATCTGTTTATTTGAAGCATTAAAACTGTAATAATCAACAATTTCAGTTTTCCATTGACAATAATGAAGAATTATGAAGGCGATTCATGTAAGGCACTAGGTAACTTCGCGTTGCTTTTAGAAGAGTATTGTCTGAATAGACAACAGTTACCTTGTGATTCTTCACCGAGCTGCATTTTTCAAGTTGAAAAATCGGGTGCTGAAAGTGATGGATCTATAGATTTGTGAGAATTTGCTGCTGCTTCAACTTCTTTTTGTAATAACAATAACAGTCTATATGAAATTTAACAATTCTGTTTCTTCTTTGATTTTGAGTCACCCTGTAAATGTAGCTCTACTAAACTATCGGACCGCATTCATAGCCTACAAGAGAAAAAAATCTTCTATACTGGAAAGGAGGAAAAAAAGAATGTATCAACCTGATACATCTGCCCCTCTTTATAACCCGTGAAATAGCCCTAGTTCTAATTAAATTTCAGTTCAAGCTTCCAAAATGACTTCCAACAATATTAAAGTAGCCACAAAGATCAGACCAATGATCCACCGCGAAGTAGCCGATGGTCTAGAGCGTCTTTGGAACGTAAGAGTAAACTGCATATGGGAAGCCGATGAAAGTAGTCGCCATGGAGAGGTTTATATATTCGACCATGTATTTAATCAGGAATGTACAAATTCAGATGTATATGGATCTGTAGTAAAACCTTTAGTCGATTCCTTCATGGAAGGTTTCAATGCCACAATATTTGCATATGGCCAAACATCTTCTGGCAAAACACACACCATTTTGGGCAATAAAACAGATCCTGGGCTTTTCCAATTAGTATCCAATCAGTTATTCCAGCATGTGGCAGACCAGGTTGATAAGAGGTACTTGATTAGATGCAGTTATATTGAAATCTACAATGAAAAGATCAATGACCTCCTGGATAAGAGCAATCAGGGTTTAACTATGAGAAGATATCAAAGGAAATGTGCTGCTTGATGCAAGGGAAGCTGTCGTAGACAATGTTGATAAAGTTATGGAGAACATGATGCAGGGCAATAAGATCAGACGAGTTGCAGCTACTCGCATGAATGAGAGGTCATCTCGATCACACACGATTTTCCGGATTATTCTGGAGTCGAAAGATGCCAATCAGAAAGATGGACCTGTACATATAAGCTACCTTAACTTAAGGACTTAGCTGGTTCTGAGAGAGTTTCTCTGACGAAAGCTGCTGGTGAGCGTCTTAAAGAGGGGGCTAACATAAACAAATCTTTGTCAGTATTAGGAAATGTGATAAGGCAACTAAGCGAGGGGAAGGAGTTTATCAGTTATCGCGATTCGAAATTGACTAGACTGCTCTCACAGGCTCTTGGCGGTAATGCCAAATCATTGATTATCGGGAATGTTACTTTAGCTGCAGAGGAGGAGACTAGATCTACACCAGAATTCGCCCAAAGCACTAAAACTGTCAAAAATAAAACGAAAGTAAACATCTTGTCAGCTACAGAAGAGACACTTCAAGGATATCAGAACTTGACTCGCGATCTCGAAACTCGGCTCAAAAAGCAGGCAATTAAGCTAAAAGAGATGGATAAAAGCAAACAAGAGTATCTGCTCGAGATAGAAAGACTAAAAACGGAAGTATCTATTGTCGGGCGCTTTCAAATGGGAGCCTCGGCATCAACACCGAAAAAAACATTAAGACGTCATACTTTTGGACACTATGGCAACGTATCACCTAAAAAAGCATCCCTAGGGTATATGCCATTGAAAAATTATCCACCCAAAGAAGAATCATCCGGACGTGAAATGAGGCCTATTCAAGAAGAGACATATGAGGAGGCACTAGCCGAAGCAGAATCTGTGATAGCTGAAGACGTGCAAGTGTACTTAAAAGACAACGCAAAGAACTGGAAGAATCTTTCAATGAGCTTAGAGAATTCACTAAACTAGATAATCAGCTGGAGATTTTGGACCTGAAGAAACAGCTCACAGAAGCCAATTCTAAAATCGATCGTTACAGTCAGGAACTCCGCCAAGTAACGGATGCGTACAACGAAGAAATAGAAAGAGTTCAAAAAAATTCTCAAAAAGCGCAAGAATTTCATCGACTTGCAATACAGACTCGATTTTCTGGAAAAAAATAATAAAAAGACTAAAAACATACGAGTCAGAAATAGAGATGCTGCGTACTCAACTGAAGAACCTAGGAAGATCAGAGAGCCCTAAACCATCTCTTGAAGCTCAAAATATTGAGTCAAAAAAGAAGGTTGCAGACTTAGAAGCTATGCTTGACGCTGAGTACGAAGATATGCAAGATTCTTTAAGTGCTGCTACACAAACTGATGTAACGATGTCACACATTGCTGAACTGCAAGATGAAATTGGCTTCCTAAAAGAACTTGAATCTAAACTGAGAAATGACGTAAAGAGTCTGATGGACGAGAGTAACCAACGTGAGGTCAACCACTCATTTAAAATCTCAGATATACGATGCCATAATGATTCTACTATAAAAGAGCTTCAGGATCAAATGGCTGAACTGGAATGCCAAAACGAAATCTGGATTATGAAAAGTGCCCCTCTTTATAACCCGTGAAATAGCCCTAGTTCTAATTAAATTTCAGTTCAAGCTTCCAAAATGACTTCCACAATATTAAAGTAGCCACAAAGATCAGACCAATGATCCACCGCGAAGTAGCCGATGGTCTAGAGCGTCTTTGGAACGTAAGAGTAAACTGCATATGGGAAGCCGATGAAAGTAGTCGCCATGGAGAGGTTTATATATTCGACCATGTATTTAAGCAGGAATGTACAAATTCAGATGTATATGGATCTGTAGTAAAACCTTTAGTCGATTCCTTCATGGAAGGTTTCAATGCCACAATATTTGCATATGGCCAAACATCTTCTGGCAAAACACACACACCATTTTGGGCAATAAAACAGATCCTGGGCTTTTCCAATTAGTATCCAATCAGTTATTCCAGCATGTGGCAGACCAGGTTGATAAGAGGTACTTGATTAGATGCAGTTATATTGAAATCTACAATGAAAAGATCAATGACCTCCTGGATAAGAGCAATCAGGGTTTAACTATGAGAAGATATCAAAGGAAATGTGCTGCTTGATGCAAGGGAAGCTGTCGTAGACAATGTTGATAAAGTTATGGAGAACATGATGCAGGGCAATAAGATCAGACGAGTTGCAGCTACTCGCATGAATGAGAGGTCATCTCGATCACACACGATTTTCCGGATTATTCTGGAGTCGAAAGATGCCAATCAGAAAGATGGACCTGTACATATAAGCTACCTTAACTTAATGGACTTAGCTGGTTCTGAGAGAGTTTCTCTGACGAAAGCTGCTGGTGAGCGTCTTAAAGAGGGGGCTAACATAAACAAATCTTTGTCAGTATTAGGAAATGTGATAAGGCAACTAAGCGAGGGGAAGGAGTTTATCAGTTATCGCGATTCGAAATTGACTAGACTGCTCTCACAGGCTCTTGGCGGTAATGCCAAATCATTGATTATCGGGAATGTTACTTTAGCTGCAGAGGAGGAGACTAGATCTACACCAGAATTCGCCCAAAGCACTAAAACTGTCAAAAATAAAACGAAAGTAAACATCTTGTCAGCTACAGAAGAGACACTTCAAGGATATCAGAACTTGACTCGCGATCTCGAAACTCGGCTCAAAAAGCAGGCAATTAAGCTAAAAGAGATGGATAAAAGCAAACAAGAGTATCTGCTCGAGATAGAAAGACTAAAAACGGAAGTATCTATTGTCGGGCGCTTTCAAATGGGAGCCTCGGCATCAACACCGAAAAAAACATTAAGACGTCATACTTTTGGACACTATGGCAACGTATCACCTAAAAAGCATCCCTAGGGTATATGCCATTGAAAAATTATCCACCCAAAGAAGAATCATCCGGACGTGAAATGAGGCCTATTCAAGAAGAGACATATGAGGAGGCACTAGCCGAAGCAGAATCTGTGATAGCTGAAGACGTGCAAGTGTACTTAAAAGACAACGCAAAGAACTGGAAGAATCTTTCAATGAGCTTAGAGAATTCACTAAACTAGATAATCAGCTGGAGATTTTGGACCTGAAGAAACAGCTCACAGAAGCCAATTCTAAAATCGATCGTTACAGTCAGGAACTCCGCCAAGTAACGGATGCGTACAACGAAGAAATAGAAAGAGTTCAAAAAAATTCTCAAAAAGCGCAAGAATTTCATCGACTTGCAATACAGACTCGATTTTCTGGAAAAAAATAATAAAAAGACTAAAAACATACGAGTCAGAAATAGAGATGCTGCGTACTCAACTGAAGAACCTAGGAAGATCAGAGAGCCCTAAACCATCTCTTGAAGCTCAAAATATTGAGTCAAAAAAGAAGGTTGCAGACTTAGAAGCTATGCTTGACGCTGAGTACGAAGATATGCAAGATTCTTTAAGTGCTGCTACACAAACTGATGTAACGATGTCACACATTGCTGAACTGCAAGATGAAATTGGCTTCCTAAAAGAACTTGAATCTAAACTGAGAAATGACGTAAAGAGTCTGATGGACGAGAGTAACCAACGTGAGGTCAACCACTCATTTAAAATCTCAGATATACGATGCCATAATGATTCTACTATAAAAGAGCTTCAGGATCAAATGGCTGAACTGGAATGCCAAAACGAAATCTGGATTATGAAAAGTGCCCCTCTTTATAACCCGTGAAATAGCCCTAGTTCTAATTAAATTTCAGTTCAAGCTTCCAAAATGACTTCCGACAATATTAAAGTAGCCACAAAGATCAGACCAATGATCCACCGCGAAGTAGCCGATGGTCTAGAGCGTCTTTGGAACGTAAGAGTAAACTGCATATGGGAAGCCGAGATGAAAGTAGTCGCCATGGAGAGGTTTATATATTCGACCATGTATTTAAGCAGGAATGTACAAATTCAGATGTATATGGATCTGTAGTAAAACCTTTAGTCGATTCCTTCATGGAAGGTTTCAATGCCACAATATTTGCATATGGCCAAACATCTTCTGGCAAAACACACACCATTTTGGGCAATAAAACAGATCCTGGGCTTTTCCAATTAGTATCCAATCAGTTATTCCAGCATGTGGCAGACCAGGTTGATAAGAGGTACTTGATTAGATGCAGTTATATTGAAATCTACAATGAAAAGATCAATGACCTCCTGGATAAGAGCAATCAGGGTTTAACTATAAGAGAAGATATCAAAGGAAATGTGCTGCTTGATGCAAGGGAAGCTGTCGTAGACAATGTTGATAAAGTTATGGAGAACATGATGCAGGGCAATAAGATCAGACGAGTTGCAGCTACTCGCATGAATGAGAGGTCATCTCGATCACACACGATTTTCCGGATTATTCTGGAGTCGAAAGATGCCAATCAGAAAGATGGACCTGTACATATAAGCTACCTTAACTTAATGGACTTAGCTGGTTCTGAGAGAGTTTCTCTGACGAAAGCTGCTGGTGAGCGTCTTAAAGAGGGGGCTAACATAAACAAATCTTTGTCAGTATTAGGAAATGTGATAAGGCAACTAAGCGAGGGGAAGGAGTTTATCAGTTATCGCGATTCGAAATTGACTAGACTGCTCTCACAGGCTCTTGGCGGTAATGCCAAATCATTGATTATCGGGAATGTTACTTTAGCTGCAGAGGAGGAGACTAGATCTACACCAGAATTCGCCCAAAGCACTAAAACTGTCAAAAATAAAACGAAAGTAAACATCTTGTCAGCTACAGAAGAGACACTTCAAGGATATCAGAACTTGACTCGCGATCTCGAAACTCGGCTCAAAAAGCAGGCAATTAAGCTAAAAGAGATGGATAAAAGCAAACAAGAGTATCTGCTCGAGATAGAAAGACTAAAAACGGAAGTATCTATTGTCGGGCGCTTTCAAATGGGAGCCTCGGCATCAACACCGAAAAAAACATTAAGACGTCATACTTTTGGACACTATGGCAACGTATCACCTAAAAAAGCATCCCTAGGGTATATGCCATTGAAAAATTATCCACCCAAAGAAGAATCATCCGGACGTGAAATGAGGCCTATTCAAGAAGAGACATATGAGGAGGCACTAGCCGAAGCAGAATCTGTGATAGCTGAAGACGTGCAAGTGTACTTAAAAGACAACTCAAAGAACTGGAAGAATCTTTCAATGAGCTTAGAGAATTCACTAAACTAGATAATCAGCTGGAGATTTTGGACCTGAAGAAACAGCTCACAGAAGCCAATTCTAAATTCGATCGTTACAGTCAGGAACTCCGCCAAGTAACGGATGCGTACAACGAAGAAATAGAAAGAGTTCAAAAAAATTCTCAAAAAGCGCAAGAATTTCATCGACTTGCAATACAGACTCGATTTTCTGGAAAAAAATAATAAAAAGACTAAAAACATACGAGTCAGAAATAGAGATGCTGCGTACTCAACTGAAGAACCTAGGAAGATCAGAGAGCCCTAAACCATCTCTTGAAGCTCAAAATATTGAGTCAAAAAAGAAGGTTGCAGACTTAGAAGCTATGCTTGACGCTGAGTACGAAGATATGCAACATTCTTTAAGTGCTGCTGCACAAACTGATGTAACGATGTCACACATTGCTGAACTGCAAGATGAAATTGGCTTCCTAAAAGAACTTGAATCTAAACTGAGAAATGACGTAAAGAGTCTGATGGACGAGAGTAACCAACGTGAGGTCAACCACTCATTTAAAATCTCAGATATACGATGCCATAATGATTCTACTATAAAGAGCTTCAGGATCAAATGGCTGAACTGGAATGCCAAAACGAAATCTGGATTATGAAAAAGGACGACGAAATCAGAAAATTGCAACAACTAATTACAAACCCGAAGCAGGCTGGCACTTAACCAGAACCACCTGTGCAGGAAGACGTTGCATTTTATAGGGAGCAAGTTGAGTTCTCCCAGAACATGTACAAAAATGAGATAATAGGTGGAGAGTTACGTATAAACCATAGAGAAAATCTTCAGGCAGTTAAACTAGAAATATGTCTACCCTTGTTTAGTGTTTACGATTATTGCAGGGTTTGGACAAAGTTTAGGGCTGATCCCAGTGCTCACAGTGTACAATTTTCAGCTAATAAATCTTGAATTCTGAGGTAACAAAATCAACTAGAACTCTGAAAAAGTGATTTATCAGAAATCATGCCCTTACTTCCATGATAAGAGGGATTCGTAAAAATTATAAGCAGGTTGTGGCTTATTATCTAGTAAAAGATACAAGAATCCCAGATCTGAAAACGATTATTGTTCATGTGATCACAAACTAGCAGCGACTTGGTTTGTGCGTTGTTGGCACTATTTCTAATCAGGGCGCAACGATCAAAAACGCACTTGAGACGATTTGCTCGGAGAATACTCACGGATCAAGTCCATTCCATTTTATAGTCAATGCTCAGAGTATTTCTACAATTTGTGATGAACCACATTTATTCAAAAATGGATGAAATGCTCTTATTGACATTAATATGAAAGTGAAGAAGCTGCACAGATTGAACATGTCTAGAAATCATATAATGTTGATCAGCAAACAAGACCATACAAAGAGCTATGTAAATTGAAACCCAGCCACTTTGATTTTATAGATTCGTTCAAGAATATAGAAATTAATCCTTTAATGATATCGTCGGATGATTCGAGCTTTCTCAGTTATGTGGTGGGGGTCCCGTGACTTCTCATACGGTATGAGCACGTATACCTCAAACCACAGTTTAATTTAAACATCACAATTGTTGGTTTGTTGACTTTGCGGTCAAATTTGATCCGAGGATGTCAGTTGCGTGTACGATTTGAACTTCCTTCACAATGGATTTTTTCGTTGTTGACGGATGAACAATACACTATAGACTACGCCGAGGACGACGCTGCTATCGATCAACCTGAACAACTTCCTATGGGCGACCTCGCTATGCCTATGGAAAAAACATGTACAATTGGTCAAAACGAGCGCCTGCAACTGGTCGATTATTACGCATTTACCTGAACTAAAGTCCGTGGCAACCAATTTGGAAAATAATAACCCTGTGACTCGAGAAATGCCGATAAATTTCTCCAAATACGTGAAATTTTCGAGACACTCATAGAGAACTGTCGAAATTGTTATATTTCGGGTGAGTCCCCTACAAAATACGAGATGCTCGTGGGCCGATGTCCTTCCTGTGCCTACAAGAAAACTAAACCGAATAAGTATGGACTGATGATGCAAAGACTCACCACTACCTGCTCAATGCTTTCGTCTATACGAACAGAAATATCACAGCAGATGACTGGTTCACGTCAGTAGAATTACATGTAGAATTGCGCATCAACCAACTGACCTATGTCGGCAGGAAGCGTAAAAATAAGTAACAAGTACCCCAACATGTAGTTCCAAATAAGAAGGAAACACAGCCAGGTACTTCTAAGTTTATGTTGTACAGCCTTAGAGTAGTATCTTCCAAAACCAAATACACATGTTCTCGTATAGCAATCTATGCAGCATGATAACAAAATAGTAGAGGAATCAAAGAAACCTGATAAGATCCTATATTATTTTTATAACACTATGAAGGGGGGGGTAATGCATTAGATCGGAAGTGTGTAAATTACAATACTGGTTAGAGAACGAGAAGATGGCCTTGTGCTATTTGGTATCCAACCAGCTTCTGTAAATTCCTTTTTTTTCAGTCTGGGACTGAAAGTTCCATTAGGCGACGAAATTTTATTGTTCCCCTGAGGCAAACTCTAATTTAACTTCGTATGAGAGGACGTTTATCAGATCCAAGACTTCCTAGGGAGCTTCGTTCAGCCATGCAAAGAATCCTAAATTACCAACGACGAATAAAGTAAGCCGTCTACTTCTCAGCCCAGAGTTCTCGATCCTGATGCAGTTGTTAAAGAAAAAAAACGACGTAGGTGTTACATGACAATACACAATGAAAAAAATGTTCTACAATCTGTAATAAGTATGTAAAGTCACAGCGCACTTACATTGTTTCGTGAAAAGTGATAAATGTTAATTATTGTATGTTTCCTTATACGAGAAAGTATTTGTTTTTGTTGTAGAATATCAACACCAAATATGTTGTTAAATGGCCCATTTTGTTAGTTTTTTTATGTTCATATTACAGTTCAAGTTTCGAGGATTATATTTATTGCATTACTCATCTTCAATGGGGTATTTTCGTTTTTAGACAATAAACAGTTTTCATGTAAGAGTGTCTTATGCGTACAAACCTGTTGTACACATGGCTAAAAACAGTAATGGCATTTCAGATGTTGATAGTAAGATCCGGTGGATAACCTGTTTTGCGAGATTAGACGTGGGATTTCCAACACGAACACCATCTGTTTATTTGAAGCATTAAAAACTGTAATAATCAACAATTTCAGTTTTCCATTGACAATAATGAAGAATTATGAAGGCGATTCATGTAAGGCACTAGGTAACTTCGCGTTGCTTTTAGAAGAGTATTGTCTGAATAGACAACAGTTACCTTGTGATTCTTCACCGAGCTGCATTTTTCAAGTTGAAAAATCGGGTGCTGAAAGTGATGGATCTATAGATTTGTGAGAATTTGCTGCTGCTTCAACTTCTTTTTGTAATAACAATAACAGTCTATATGAAATTTAACAATTCTGTTTCTTCTTTGATTTTGAGTCACCCTGTAAATGTAGCTCTACTAAACTATCGGACCGCATTCATAGCCTACAAGAGAAAAAAATCTTCTATACTGGAAAGGAGGAAAAAAAGAATGTATCAACCTGATACATCTGCCCCTCTTTATAACCCGTGAAATAGCCCTAGTTCTAATTAAATTTCAGTTCAAGCTTCCAAAATGACTTCCAACAATATTAAAGTAGCCACAAAGATCAGACCAATGATCCACCGCGAAGTAGCCGATGGTCTAGAGCGTCTTTGGAACGTAAGAGTAAACTGCATATGGGAAGCCGATGAAAGTAGTCGCCATGGAGAGGTTTATATATTCGACCATGTATTTAATCAGGAATGTACAAATTCAGATGTATATGGATCTGTAGTAAAACCTTTAGTCGATTCCTTCATGGAAGGTTTCAATGCCACAATATTTGCATATGGCCAAACATCTTCTGGCAAAACACACACCATTTTGGGCAATAAAACAGATCCTGGGCTTTTCCAATTAGTATCCAATCAGTTATTCCAGCATGTGGCAGACCAGGTTGATAAGAGGTACTTGATTAGATGCAGTTATATTGAAATCTACAATGAAAAGATCAATGACCTCCTGGATAAGAGCAATCAGGGTTTAACTATGAGAAGATATCAAAGGAAATGTGCTGCTTGATGCAAGGGAAGCTGTCGTAGACAATGTTGATAAAGTTATGGAGAACATGATGCAGGGCAATAAGATCAGACGAGTTGCAGCTACTCGCATGAATGAGAGGTCATCTCGATCACACACGATTTTCCGGATTATTCTGGAGTCGAAAGATGCCAATCAGAAAGATGGACCTGTACATATAAGCTACCTTAACTTAATGGACTTAGCTGGTTCTGAGAGAGTTTCTCTGACGAAAGCTGCTGGTGAGCGTCTTAAAGAGGGGGCTAACATAAACAAATCTTTGTCAGTATTAGGAAATGTGATAAGGCAACTAAGCGAGGGGAAGGAGTTTATCAGTTATCGCGATTCGAAATTGACTAGACTGCTCTCACAGGCTCTTGGCGGTAATGCCAAATCATTGATTATCGGGAATGTTACTTTAGCTGCAGAGGAGGAGACTAGATCTACACCAGAATTCGCCCAAAGCACTAAAACTGTCAAAAATAAAACGAAAGTAAACATCTTGTCAGCTACAGAAGAGACACTTCAAGGATATCAGAACTTGACTCGCGATCTCGAAACTCGGCTCAAAAAGCAGGCAATTAAGCTAAAAGAGATGGATAAAAGCAAACAAGAGTATCTGCTCGAGATAGAAAGACTAAAAACGGAAGTATCTATTGTCGGGCGCTTTCAAATGGGAGCCTCGGCATCAACACCGAAAAAAACATTAAGACGTCATACTTTTGGACACTATGGCAACGTATCACCTAAAAAAGCATCCCTAGGGTATATGCCATTGAAAAATTATCCACCCAAAGAAGAATCATCCGGACGTGAAATGAGGCCTATTCAAGAAGAGACATATGAGGAGGCACTAGCCGAAGCAGAATCTGTGATAGCTGAAGACGTGCAAGTGTACTTAAAAGACAACGCAAAGAACTGGAAGAATCTTTCAATGAGCTTAGAGAATTCACTAAACTAGATAATCAGCTGGAGATTTTGGACCTGAAGAAACAGCTCACAGAAGCCAATTCTAAAATCGATCGTTACAGTCAGGAACTCCGCCAAGTAACGGATGCGTACAACGAAGAAATAGAAAGAAAGGTTCAAAAAAATTCTCAAAAAGCGCAAGAATTTCATCGACTTGCAATACAGACTCGATTTTCTGGAAAAAAATAATAAAAAGACTAAAAACATACGAGTCAGAAATAGAGATGCTGCGTACTCAACTGAAGAACCTAGGAAGATCAGAGAGCCCTAAACCATCTCTTGAAGCTCAAAATATTGAGTCAAAAAAGAAGGTTGCAGACTTAGAAGCTATGCTTGACGCTGAGTACGAAGATATGCAAGATTCTTTAAGTGCTGCTACACAAACTGATGTAACGATGTCACACATTGCTGAACTGCAAGATGAAATTGGCTTCCTAAAAGAACTTGAATCTAAACTGAGAAATGACGTAAAGAGTCTGATGGACGAGAGTAACCAACGTGAGGTCAACCACTCATTTAAAATCTCAGATATACGATGCCATAATGATTCTACTATAAAAGAGCTTCAGGATCAAATGGCTGAACTGGAATGCCAAAACGAAATCTGGATTATGAAAAGTGCCCCTCTTTATAACCCGTGAAATAGCCCTAGTTCTAATTAAATTTCAGTTCAAGCTTCCAAAATGACTTCCGACAATATTAAAGTAGCCACAAAGATCAGACCAATGATCCACCGCGAAGTAGCCGATGGTCTAGAGCGTCTTTGGAACGTAAGAGTAAACTGCATATGGGAAGCCGATGAAAGTAGTCGCCATGGAGAGGTTTATATATTCGACCATGTATTTAAGCAGGAATGTACAAATTCAGATGTATATGGATCTGTAGTAAAACCTTTAGTCGATTCCTTCATGGAAGGTTTCAATGCCACAATATTTGCATATGGCCAAACATCTTCTGGCAAAACACACACCATTTTGGGCAATAAAACAGATCCTGGGCTTTTCCAATTAGTATCCAATCAGTTATTCCAGCATGTGGCAGACCAGGTTGATAAGAGGTACTTGATTAGATGCAGTTATATTGAAATCTACAATGAAAAGATCAATGACCTCCTGGATAAGAGCAATCAGGGTTTAACTATAAGAGAAGATATCAAAGGAAATGTGCTGCTTGATGCAAGGGAAGCTGTCGTAGACAATGTTGATAAAGTTATGGAGAACATGATGCAGGGCAATAAGATCAGACGAGTTGCAGCTACTCGCATGAATGAGAGGTCATCTCGATCACACACGATTTTCCGGATTATTCTGGAGTCGAAAGATGCCAATCAGAAAGATGGACCTGTACATATAAGCTACCTTAACTTAATGGACTTAGCTGGTTCTGAGAGAGTTTCTCTGACGAAAGCTGCTGGTGAGCGTCTTAAAGAGGGGGCTAACATAAACAAATCTTTGTCAGTATTAGGAAATGTGATAAGGCAACTAAGCGAGGGGAAGGAGTTTATCAGTTATCGCGATTCGAAATTGACTAGACTGCTCTCACAGGCTCTTGGCGGTAATGCCAAATCATTGATTATCGGGAATGTTACTTTAGCTGCAGAGGAGGAGACTAGATCTACACCAGAATTCGCCCAAAGCACTAAAACTGTCAAAAATAAAACGAAAGTAAACATCTTGTCAGCTACAGAAGAGACACTTCAAGGATATCAGAACTTGACTCGCGATCTCGAAACTCGGCTCAAAAAGCAGGCAATTAAGCTAAAAGAGATGGATAAAAGCAAACAAGAGTATCTGCTCGAGATAGAAAGACTAAAAACGGAAGTATCTATTGTCGGGCGCTTTCAAATGGGAGCCTCGGCATCAACACCGAAAAAAACATTAAGACGTCATACTTTTGGACACTATGGCAACGTATCACCTAAAAAAGCATCCCTAGGGTATATGCCATTGAAAAATTATCCACCCAAAGAAGAATCATCCGGACGTGAAATGAGGCCTATTCAAGAAGAGACATATGAGGAGGCACTAGCCGAAGCAGAATCTGTGATAGCTGAAGACGTGCAAGTGTACTTAAAAGACAACAAAGAACTGGAAGAATCTTTCAATGAGCTTAGAGAATTCACTAAACTAGATAATCAGCTGGAGATTTTGGACCTGAAGAAACAGCTCACAGAAGCCAATTCTAAATTCGATCGTTACAGTCAGGAACTCCGCCAAGTAACGGATGCGTACAACGAAGAAATAGAAAGAGTTCAAAAAAATTCTCAAAAAGCGCAAGAATTTCATCGACTTGCAATACAGACTCGATTTTCTGGAAAAAAATAATAAAAAGACTAAAAACATACGAGTCAGAAATAGAGATGCTGCGTACTCAACTGAAGAACCTAGGAAGATCAGAGAGCCCTAAACCATCTCTTGAAGCTCAAAATATTGAGTCAAAAAAGAAGGTTGCAGACTTAGAAGCTATGCTTGACGCTGAGTACGAAGATATGCAACATTCTTTAAGTGCTGCTGCACAAACTGATGTAACGATGTCACACATTGCTGAACTGCAAGATGAAATTGGCTTCCTAAAAGAACTTGAATCTAAACTGAGAAATGACGTAAAGAGTCTGATGGACGAGAGTAACCAACGTGAGGTCAACCACTCATTTAAAATCTCAGATATACGATGCCATAATGATTCTACTATAAAAGAGCTTCAGGATCAAATGGCTGAACTGGAATGCCAAAACGAAATCTGGATTATGAAAAAGGACGACGAAATCAGAAAATTGCAACAACTAATTACAAACCCGAAGCAGGCTGGCACTTAACCAGAACCACCTGTGCAGGAAGACGTTGCATTTTATAGGGAGCAAGTTGAGTTCTCCCAGAACATGTACAAAAATGAGATAATAGGTGGAGAGTTACGTATAAACCATAGAGAAAATCTTCAGGCAGTTAAACTAGAAATATGTCTACCCTTGTTTAGTGTTTACGATTATTGCAGGGTTTGGACAAAGTTTAGGGCTGATCCCAGTGCTCACAGTGTACAATTTTCAGCTAATAAATCTTGAATTCTGAGGTAACAAAATCAACTAGAACTCTGAAAAAGTGATTTATCAGAAATCATGCCCTTACTTCCATGATAAGAGGGATTCGTAAAAATTATAAGCAGGTTGTGGCTTATTATCTAGTAAAAGATACAAGAATCCCAGATCTGAAAACGATTATTGTTCATGTGATCACAAACTAGCAGCGACTTGGTTTGTGCGTTGTTGGCACTATTTCTAATCAGGGCGCAACGATCAAAAACGCACTTGAGACGATTTGCTCGGAGAATACTCACGGATCAAGTCCATTCCATTTTATAGTCAATGCTCAGAGTATTTCTACAATTTGTGATGAACCACATTTATTCAAAAATGGATGAAATGCTCTTATTGACATTAATATGAAAGTGAAGAAGCTGCACAGATTGAACATGTCTAGAAATCATATAATGTTGATCAGCAAACAAGACCATACAAAGAGCTATGTAAATTGAAACCCAGCCACTTTGATTTTATAGATTCGTTCAAGAATATAGAAATTAATCCTTTAATGATATCGTCGGATGATTCGAGCTTTCTCAGTTATGTGGTGGGGGTCCCGTGACTTCTCATACGGTATGAGCACGTATACCTCAAACCACAGTTTAATTTAAACATCACAATTGTTGGTTTGTTGACTTTGCGGTCAAATTTGATCCGAGGATGTCAGTTGCGTGTACGATTTGAACTTCCTTCACAATGGATTTTTTCGTTGTTGACGGATGAACAATACACTATAGACTACGCCGAGGACGACGCTGCTATCGATCAACCTGAACAACTTCCTATGGGCGACCTCGCTATGCCTATGGAAAAAACATGTACAATTGGTCAAAACGAGCGCCTGCAACTGGTCGATTATTACGCATTTACCTGAACTAAAGTCCGTGGCAACCAATTTGGAAAATAATAACCCTGTGACTCGAGAAATGCCGATAAATTTCTCCAAATACGTGAAATTTTCGAGACACTCATAGAGAACTGTCGAAATTGTTATATTTCGGGTGAGTCCCCTACAAAATACGAGATGCTCGTGGGCCGATGTCCTTCCTGTGCCTACAAGAAAACTAAACCGAATAAGTATGGACTGATGATGCAAAGACTCACCACTACCTGCTCAATGCTTTCGTCTATACGAACAGAAATATCACAGCAGATGACTGGTTCACGTCAGTAGAATTACATGTAGAATTGCGCATCAACCAACTGACCTATGTCGGCAGGAAGCGTAAAAATAAGTAACAAGTACCCCAACATGTAGTTCCAAATAAGAAGGAAACACAGCCAGGTACTTCTAAGTTTATGTTGTACAGCCTTAGAGTAGTATCTTCCAAAACCAAATACACATGTTCTCGTATAGCAATCTATGCAGCATGATAACAAAATAGTAGAGGAATCAAAGAAACCTGATAAGATCCTATATTATTTTTATAACACTATGAAGGCGGGGGGTAATGCATTAGATCGGAAGTGTGTAAATTACAATACTGGTTAGAGAACGAGAAGATGGCCTTGTGCTATTTGGTATCCAACCAGCTTCTGTAAATTCCTTTTTTTTTCAGTCTGGGACTGAAAGTTCCATTAGGCGACGAAATTTTATTGTTCCCCTGAGGCAAACTCTAATTTAACTTCGTATGAGAGGACGTTTATCAGATCCAAGACTTCCTAGGGAGCTTCGTTCAGCCATGCAAAGAATCCTAAATTACCAACGACGAATAAAGTAAGCCGTCTACTTCTCAGCCCAGAGTTCTCGATCCTGATGCAGTTGTTAAAGAAAAAAAACGACGTAGGTGTTACATGACAATACACAATGAAAAAAATGTTCTACAATCTGTAATAAGTATGTAAAGTCACAGCGCACTTACATTGTTTCGTGAAAAGTGATAAATGTTAATTATTGTATGTTTCCTTATACGAGAAAGTATTTGTTTTGTTGTAGAATATCAACACCAAATATGTTGTTAAATGGCCCATTTTGTTAGTTGTTATGTATATAGATTCAGTTTTCGAGGATTATATTTATTGCATTACTCATCTTCAATGGGTATTTTCGTTTTTAGACAATAAACAGTTTTCATGTAAGAGTGTCTTATGCGTACAAACCTGTTGTACACATGGCTAAAAACAGTAATGGCATTTCAGATGTTGATAGTAAGATCCGGTGGATAACCTGTTTTGCGAGATTAGACGTGGGGATTTCCAACACGAACACCATCTGTTTATTTGAAGCATTAAAAACTGTAATAATCAACAATTTCAGTTTTCCATTGACAATAATGAAGAATTATGAAGGCGATTCATGTAAGGCACTAGGTAACTTCGCGTTGCTTTTAGAAGAGTATTGTCTGAATAGACAACAGTTACCTTGTGATTCTTCACCGAGCTGCATTTTTCAAGTTGAAAAATCGGGTGCTGAAAGTGATGGATCTATAGTTTGTGAGAATTTGCTGCTGCTTCAACTTCTTTTGTAATAACAATAACAGTCTATATGAAATTTAACAATTCTGTTTCT